GATGTGTATCCATTATATGTTTTGTTAATACTGGTAATGAGAGGATCGTAGTAGATATGCCAAAGAAGAGGTGTTATTGTCTCTCCTTGATCAATTTCATCTTGTACATTGTATAGAGGTGTTAATCCATGGTTAATAATAACTTGGTTGGTATGGTTTTGTAGCAGGTTGATGATAATTTGTATAAGTTGAGTTGGCATATTTAGGCATTGTAAGGCTTTGTCAAGGAGATGTATATTGACTGAATCATAGGCCTCACTCATATCTTGTGATAGAATCTAGGCCTGTTTTTTTGTACATTTCGCATCTTCTGGGAAATTGTTAAGTATGTGAATTGGGTTATTGGTAGAATTGTCAGGAAGTGTAACATAGTTGTGAGGATTAAGAATAGGATATTTAATGAAAACTTTGTTTAGTCAGTTTGTGAGAATTTTGGTATGTTAATTTTAATTATCATCATCTTGCTAATATATAAAAAAAATTAGTTTAAAACTAATAGACATTAGACTCATTTATTAATAGAATTTTAATAGACTATTAGATAATTAGACAATAATTTTTTTGATTAGAAAAAACTCTTTTCTGTATATCCCAATTTCTATAGTAAATAAAAAATCGATATATAAAATTTGACAACTTAGTAAATAAATAATTAATTATACAAAGAAAAAGACTACAAAGCACACCAATACCCTACTATACTACCCTCCTAAGTAATCAAGATAAAGTGAAAACAAGGTGGCAGGAACTACACCACCGACAACAAAGAAAACACAAGGCCTTTGGGCCCTATAGCACCCTTTACACTATCAGTCCAACCACAACTTCAAATGGGTGACCATAACAGCAACAATAAGGGTAAAAGTAAAGGCAAAACAAAAGTCTTAGCTAAGCTTGACTCCATATATAATGATACTAGTTCAAAAAGACAATATAAACTCCTTCCTAGACTACACCCAAACACCAAAAGTGGGCCATCTAGCTTACCCCTGATAAAAAACAGCATGACATCATCACACCAAAATAACAACAACAACCAACTCGCCCAAACCAGTTTTAACAACATCCAAACAGAAACCGGAGGAAAAAGCAACAATACAATAATATTTTCCACAACAACAGCCCCAATATTAACATATTAGGCAACACACCTCACACCAACAACAACAACAACAACACAGCCATGCCCCAGACCAACACCAATAATGCAACAACAGGAAACATAGATGATGCAACAACAACCAACCCTGAAGTATCAACTGATACACAACATAATAACCATATGGAAACTAACACAGCCTCTACAATATCTGCACAATATGAAGTTCCTAATACACTTACATACAGCCAAGCTGCTAAGAAGAATTTGACCGACAACACAATGCAAATAGATAAAGATCTAACTCAGAAATGGCTAGAACACATACATACAGAAATGACAAAGAAAATCACACAACCTTTCGACACAAACACATGGCAGTACGACAAAATGATTACCAACTTTCAATCCAATATAGGGCTTCAAGAATTTATAAAATACAAAATAGCAACTAAACCTACTGATAAATATATCCCTCCAGCTATATCAGCCAAGTTCAAACATCTAGACTGCCATTTTTTCTTATCTTTACCAAAGCAACAAGATTCACACCACAGCACCAAATAGAATACAAAGAACTATTTTATAATGCACAACAAAACTACAAGAAAACAAATCAGATCACTATAACTAATAGAGAAACACGAGACATCATCTATCAGAAACTTCAACAAAAAATCTTTCTAGATTATATAACCAACACAAACTTCAACACATGTCCTCATAAACATATCGTGCACCTAGTAAAATATTACAAAGGATTTACTAAAGATACAACACTCAAAACTCATAACGAAATCCAAAAAGCAGTCCAAGAAGCTTTTGCAGAGAAGTTACAACAACTAGCTAGTGATCCAGATGAGATTCCAGAACATATACAACAGATGTTACCTTTTACCCTGCCTATAAACAACAAGGCACATACAAAAGCTATTGTTATAGCACTTCACCGAATCTATAGATTTGACCAGCTTCTAGAAGAATACTTTATAAGCCTTGACCCTCTTCCTACTAATATTGCTGACCTTCACCCAGCAGTAAGAGATCTATTCCCAATTACCAATAGAAAATGCCTAAGAGAATTAGGCTACTATAAAAGGCAACTGAGCCTATACTACGAGTATACCAAAATTCTACTCCACTTCTTCGAATTACCACTACCAAAAGCTCGCCTACCATTAGCATATCAAGACTTTAGTCCCAAATATAGGAGGTACTTTCCTATCGATCCAAACGACGTCTATGGCAATACACGAAAAATTCTAGAAGAACTACAATAAGAATATACCTTCAAAAACTTACCAAATAACTACTACCAAGTGAAACTACCCTGCCCAAAGACCTTACCAAAATCAAAACTCTGAAGAAATATACATATCTGATTACTGAAAAGCAGGAAGCTATTGACTTCATTGATGATATTAGCTCAATATATAAGTTCAATCAACCTTTACCTTCAGAAATTATGACAGTCAACCCCACAGAAAAGCCTGACCTCCTGAATGACCCACAATTAATCACAATATATAGCATACTAACCCCTATCACATTTACCAAAACCCTAAGGTAGCTAAATTGCTAAGAGAAACATATTATTTCTACCATATCCCAGACTCATGGATAAAAATTCACACTAACCTAACAGAAGTCAACGAGCTTACAAATAATTTGATAGAAAAACCTATAATACCAGATAAAATAGACAAAATTCTTACCTATCTAAAGAATAATGATATCAACACAACCCAGCTAACTCTTCCTATCACAACTCAGAAATCTGCTTCAGAAACTCTCAGCATTTTACATCAGTATTTTACAATCAAAACCATATCCAGCAACATCTTAGATCTTCCACCTCTCCCAGAGCCCATCTGGGGAATATTCTCTCAACAACAATGATTCAGTCTAACAACTGGAAAGTCAAACCCAAACCATCAACATCACAATCAAATACAACTACAATCCAAACAACAGACATTAGTATTACTAAACATGAATATGTCAATGCACCACCTATACAAGACAGAATTTCAATAGCCACACACAATGTTCAAGGCCTTAACACCAAGCTAAAAACTCAACTATGGCTTGAGTTCTGTAATGAACAACAATATCAGATAATAAGTATGATCGAAACAAAACTAGCAGAATTTACATACAATAGCCTACACACAAATAATCCCTATTATTACATTTATACAGCAAACTGCGATTTAACAACAGCAAAGATACAAGAAGTAAGTATGGGCACAGCAATAGCAATCACTAAACCACTTAGACCTTATATATATAATATCACTACATGTCCTGGTATTG